ATTTTCACTGTAACATGAGAGTATCCAAGTCGCTCTGCTAAACACCGTGTAGTCAATCTAGGATTTTCTTCGATAAGTTGCTTTAAGACATCCATATCTACCTCTAGTGGTCTTCCAAAACGAGGTAAATCGTCGAGTTCGAAGTTACCGTTCTTGAACCGATTGAAACAATGTTGCGCTGTACGGACGGAAAGCAGATCCTTGCCCATTGTGCTGAATATGTTGCTTGTTGCTTTCGTTGCTTTGTGATCCAAACGGAATTCATGAAGTAGAAATACTCGAAGCTCTCTACGAGATATCTTCATTTCTAATTCGAGATCAACGTCCATATCCATAAGTTTTGTTGTTGCTCGAAAGATATTTGTACTCCCTTTATATACCCTTAGTATGGAAGATTCTAGAACTTTCTCGACTGTTCTAGAAAGTTTAAAAAAAACGCAAAAAATTTCTTACTAATCTCATATTTAGCGCGCTCAAGACCATGGATGTATAAAAGATAAAAGCAACTTTGTTTGAATAGAAACTCATGAATGTTGCTAGCTATCGAGTTCGTGTTTTTAATATTCGATAACCTTTGTTGAAAACTATGAAACTGTATATATTTAAAATTCAAAAAAGATACTAATCATCTGAGAAATGCCAGACATATTATTCTTTGATGGTGGCTCTTCCCTTTTTCAACTGATATTCAGTAGATTTTGGTTAGAAAACAACGGTTTGAATGAAAACTTATATTATATTCTGAATCAGTATTAAAAACTGAGTCGATTTATATATATTTGAAATATTATTGTGAATTTTTTCTCTTCAAAAAATCCATCCCTAATCCTCCCTCCAGGGGTAGTAAGAGAAACAGCAGACGACTAAGCGACGGAAACACTATTTTCACAGGCAACATGGTTCGATCCATCCCTGAAAGGGTAAGGTAGACTTTTGGTTGAAAACATCTCAGAAATATTTGAAACATAAATCGACTCGGTTTTTAAATACTGATTCTAAATATGATATAAGTTTTCACTCAAACCGTTGTTTTCTAACCAAAATCTACTCAATATCAGTTGAAAAAGGGAAGAGCCACCATCAAAGAATAATATGTCTGGCATTTCTCAGATGACTAGTATCTTTTTTGAATTTTAAATATATACAGTTTTGTGACTTTCGACAAAGGCTATCGAATGTTAAAAAGATGAACTCGATAGCTAGCAACATTCATGAGTTTTTATTCAAACAATGCTGCTTTTATCTTTTATACATGCATGAGATGTACTCGTAATCTTGAGCACTCTAAATACGAGTAGAAGATTAGTCTCAAGTACTTTATCCAACCATGTTTCGTGCGCTGAACATGAATATGAGATCAGTTTTTCGATTTTGAAACATACTGTGCGACTTCTCGGGGTACAACCATTTTCATTCAGTAGGATAAGCCACAGTGCAGTCCATGCTAACTTGTTTTCTCTCCCCGTCCTAGTGTTTTAAATTAGACAAATTAATGTCAAAACGTATGTCTTAACGAGATCTATGTCTGGCAAAAAAAAGAACTATGGTATCTCTTATATTATTCAAGAAAAGTCCAAAATACTGCTAACCCGGAAGAGCCAACTTCTCGAGTATTGAGCAGTTTTTCACCTATAGTATTTTCTTTACTCTATATGTTGATGATTCAGATAAGATGAATTTGTAGTCTATACTGCTCTCTATTCTTAGCAATTTTCAAAGGTTAAAATAGACCTTTTATATTTGTTTTGATTCGTGTTTTCCATAGGTGAAACCAAATGACCTAATATTTTGGATTTAACTATAATTCAACTAGATCCTTCATTTGAGAAAACAAAATTGAAAAAACATTTTTTTTCTTCGACGATTTAGCATGATCCTGTAGTGATTCTTTCTTAGTAGCTGGAATTAATGAAAAGAACTGGAGAAAAACAAAGAGGCAGACAAACCGTGTTACATATAGACAACACTATAGAATAGAGTTGAATGAAAAAGTCAAACAAATATGAGGCAACTGCGAAGTAATGAATAAACGCGGCCGGTAACTGACATACATTGACAAATCGATCAGCTTAATAAAACCAATCATAGGTGTCAATGTTATAGCTGTCTCAATCATTTCCAATATTAGCAGCATCTTAGCGCTAAGTGTGTAACATTCAAAATGGTTGATTTTACATTTTGAATCTTCTTAATAGGTTACTCACTACGATAAAGTTATTAAACCTACGTTGTTCTTCGTAGTTTGAATGATATGTTATAATCGATAAACTTTATTTGCGCCTTACATCATTGGCTTGTTTTTTTTTGAATGATTTGTATCTTACTTTTACAACGTGTCAAACCTTTGTCTTCTGTTGTTATCTGTGTTTGCCTTCTTTTTTTCCTTCTTTTTTGAAATTCTTATCAAACAAGCACTCTATGAGACGTACTGCACACAGCAGCGATAAAACATTCACCGACAGAGAAAACGACAAGTGACGATAAGGAAGCAAAAAAACTTTAACTTGCTCAATGAAATAAATTTTATATGGAGTACACAGGACGATATTTATTTCTGTATGATTTGAAATGGTTAGGATCATTTAAAGATAGACAGTGACTAACAACGAGATATTTCAGTGAATCTTTATTCGATGATTCGATTACTGACAATTAACAGCCCACAACTATTCTAAAAAATATTTGCACATTATTTCATGATAAAATATATAAAACGTATATTATCATAAATATGAGATAATATTTCTTTCAAAATGAAACAAACATTGACAATTTTCAGTACAATTCATTTTTTCATTTAAGTAGATATTTTATAAGATTCGACATTTCATCGTATTTCTCAATAAAAAGAAGAAAAAAGAAAAGCATTCAACTTGATCATTTGGACTTGGACTTTAAAAATATTAACATTCCCAAAGAAATTCTAAGATCAAAACTTGGTTTATTTTTTACCTGATTCTTATGAGAAAAACCGATCTTTGAATGTAGTATAATATGAATGCAAAAACTGAAATACTAGGTCTAGACTATTTTAAATTCTGGTGAATATATGTGAGATCTTTTTGAAGGTATTCTGTCGACTATGGAAGAATCAGACAACTGAATGACACACATGATAATGTAGACATATCTTGAAGTTTTCTTTTGATAAATTCTCATAATGAAAAGACGGTGATCGATAAAAACGAAATCGACATTAAAAGAAATCTCTAACGATTTTTTCATAAGTCGATCGGTAATCTATATTCTAGTAAACCAAAATTCATCTACAGAGGAGACATAGTTAAAAATTTTTGCTCGAAAAAACCATTATCGAAATTCATTATTTTCAAAACAAATTTTATTCGATTTCACTTGTTAGAACTTCAATATTCAATATCATTTCTTTCAGAACATACAATACAGGTCTACAAAATAGTACATCGTTTTTTGGTCGAGAAGATCGCTTTAGATCAATATTACTTGTGTAAAAAAACGAAAGATGTTAAAAAAATTATCTTTTTCAATTTTTAAAAAAATGATGACCTATTTATCAATAAACGTTTTGAAAATTAACATTGATTCAAAGTTTGGATTGAAAATTAAGAATAACTAAAATTCCATCAATATTTATCTATACGTTTATCACATCATGTTTTTACAATATGTCTATGAAACGATCTAATAGTAACTGTGTGGATATGGATGTGAGTGACTCCTCTTCAAACACACAGCTACCTCCTACATATTCATTACTTTCTATATTTCCATTAGCAAAAAGGTTGTGGGGTGGCTAGGGTGTGGGGTGGCTGGGGTATGGGTGTGGTTGAAGAGAAATACGAGACCCATATCCACACCCATACCCCACATTAGATACCAATAGAGTATATTTTATATAGAGATACATTTCTTCATTAATCTTCTATGAATAATTTCAAAATTATATGAAAATACAAAATAAAATTTATTTACTGTGTCCTTATATTCACTACACAATAATAAATGACCATAATAAAGCATAGAGAATATTTTTAATAGAACACAACTGATAAATACAAATGAATATATTTCTCGAATGAATATCTGAAATGCTCAGATACGAATAAAGCAAAAGAATAGTTCTTTTTTTTTATAAAGTTATTTTTATAATACAAAATTCAAATAATTCTTCTGTTGTTAACACAAACTATTTTGCATTATGCATTTTCTTTTTCATGTAATAACTAAGTTTTATTTGATATTAAGGATATGATCATATAAATGCACACGCTGTTCTTTTCCTTCTCGTTCACATCTGCGAAAAGAAAGAGAACTGATAAAGACCAGTTCCAATTCTGAGTAAAGGTATATAGATAAATCTGTATCCAGTTATACTACCAGAAATTTAAATGTTGGCCATGTATGCGTATGGATGGAATGGTAATTTATAAAGTAGAGAACTCTAACCTGTGTGGGTTATTGTAAAGGATTCAAACAATATAGTGAAATCAAATTGTACGATCTTGTATGAACGTGCAAGAATCTGTGATTGATCTCACTGTCTGATTGATTGACTTGGATCCATTCGTTTGAGCTAAAACTTTTAGAATGTAATAATTGTTATGAAATCTGTTATTGGAGAAAGTTTCAAATGGAGACTCGTTATTTCAGTTTTTTTTGCTAATATTCTGCAATATGCTGAAAATTTAATAGAAAAATCATGAAAGGCTTAAGAGCACAAACATGTTTAATATTTTCATCATGACTATGAGTCCTACTTATGAGCTCGAACAGAGGATATCAGTTGGAGAAGTTCTCTTAATATCTATTTGCTGATAAATAGGACAAAAAAAATGTTTGCTCATGTTTTTACCAGAGTCATACAGATTATATTTAAAAAAACAAAACGATTAATATATTATCTAGTTTATATTTGATCAAAAGTTTTCTTTTCTCTGAGTTATTATTCAAATCATAACACAAAAACTAGGAAATATTTGATACTTTTCGAGAGAATATCTATATGAAAAAAATATATATCTTCACAAATTTTTAGGTGTAGTAACAGAAATTGGTGATATAATTAGATGTTTTTTTAGTTTTACATTTGGTTCTTGTCGTTGTGACATTTTAGCAGCAGCAGCAGCATGATGAAAGCCTGATTGATTAAATAAAAATGCACTAACATGTCCATGAAGAATATATCGAATATGAATACCAGGCCATACATCATTCATATGTGGAATACCATCACGTAATACATAACCATCATGTGTACAAGCAATAAACATAGCATTAGATATATTTGATTGAACTGAACATGAATAATTATATAAAGATGTAAATTCATCCATAAGAAGACGCATCATATCTTTAATAAGATCGAGAACAATTTTATTTGAATCTATTGATCAATTTCGTTCACGTAAATAATCATAAAATGTTTGAGAGGCTTTATTTTTATAGAATTGTCGACAAGATGGATCAGGCCATCTAAAATATAAATATATACACAATGGCTACCAAAATTATTCAACTTTTACTCAATAAAAAACCATCCTAGAGAGTTCAAGTACTAGATACTGAGAAATTAGGCTTTTGGGTTGTCTAAAAAAATCCTAACTTAGGGAATCAAATAATCAATGTTTTTAATTTATATTCTTTTTGTATAATATGGTTTGCTCTACTTGAATCATTATTTAAAATTATGATAGATATTGTATATCCATTCATTAAATAGATCAAATAATAGAATTGAATTTTACTTTGTAAATGCTAATGAAGCCATATGTCCACCAAGAGAAAAACCATGTAGAATAGCTTATGTTAATTTCATTTTTTTGACACTAATGAAGTAATACAAATGTTTCTAAAACAAGTGCTTTACCCATAATATATAAATCAGTAACATACAATAATGATGAACGAGATTGATCTGGTGGTTTTCTTAAACCATAATATGAATTTTCAAGAAGAATTGAATCTATATGATATTGATTAATTAATGGAACTGCAGTAAGTAGCCTTCGTCGACTAAAACCATGATTACCTCTGTTTCAGCATAACATATTCCTATTGGAATTGAATCAATACCAAAACGATGATCACATGGTAAAACAGGTTGAAAATGAGCTGTAGCTACTTGAAGTGAAACCTATTCAAATAAATATAACAAAAAGAAAAAAAGATAATATTAATTAAATGATTAAAATGATTTTAATTTCCTACCAAATGTAGTAAATAATTGGCAAGTGGTGAACGAAATCGAGCATTTGTATAATTTTGATTGCTTTTTATTTCTTGTTTAATTATTTCAACAGTATTTTGTTGTACATTTTCAGCTGATACAAGTTTTAAACATTCGCCTCTTACATCAATTTTTTCACGTCGATAGGTAAAAATTTCTTGTAAATGAAATGAATTTGCCCAACCACGTACAAATGATTGAGTTAATATAAAATGTCGAAAGAAATTATTGAAATTCATCATTTCAATCGTATTCGAAACTTTAATGTCATCTAGGGAATTTTTGATCTGTTCTTCTTTTTTTTTAATCGAACAAAAAAACCTAACAATAATATTAAAACAAAAGTAAGACAAGATAATGAAAGACATTCGAAAATTTATCATCACCAGCTTCATCTAAAGCTTTGCCAATCAAATCAGCTGTACAAGCAACACCTTCTGCTGCAATAACATTTGCTTGACGACTTTGTTCAGCCTGTTGTCTTTTTATCAAAAAAATCATACAAATTTTATTATTATTCGTTTATTTTTTCTACTAAAAAATCGTTGTTTTTCAATATCTTGTTGTGCAACTTGTTTTAATTCAACAGCGCTTGTAAATTCAGGTCCAAAACTTAAATGCATCTAATTTAAAAAAAATATATATATAATCAACTCGAGACTTTTTTTGTTGCATCTTACAATTGAAATAACACCAAGTAATAAACCAAATTGAGCAGCACATTCTGTGACTAATTCACTAACACGTTGGGAAATAAGTGTACGTTGTATAATCAATTAAATACCATCAAATTGAGCCTAATAATCAATTTAATTATTCATAGTAACAAAAACAAAATATCTGAGACTTACTACAACAGATTTTAAAATTTCATTAGTAATTGATGGTAACACACGTTCTTCATAATCTAAACCTAAATTTGTAAAAAATTTTGGTAAAAGTTCAGCTCTTACTCGATAAAGAATACGTAATGTTATATTAATTGTTTGTAAATCTGAAATAATAAATAATAAAATATAATTCATACTTTTTTCATTTATACGACGAGGAGATAATGGAGACCTCAGGCGAGTCACCATTGATAGCCGCAAAATTTTTAAGATACATCAGCCATATACATTCATTGATAGTTCAATAAACATTGTATTTACCTTCAGTTTTTCGCGAGTTTACATTTTCGGTACTGAAGTTTCCTATGCTTACCTATCTCCTGAAGTTGACTGTTTTTCTCTAGCTTTTATATCTTTTGTTCCTGTTATTGATGGAACAGATCGTGGTCGTGTACGAACATCAAATATAATTGGTCTATGAAGCCATGAAATCATAAAATGAGTTCCTTCTTCAATAACATCTAGTTTAACACTTTGAAAACGATCAGAAAAAACAGCTCGATGACCACCATCAACTAGAATATATTTATATTTAAAGAAAACTATTATAAAGCATAGAATTAATCACACCACCAGCAATAGCTAAACCAATACCAATTCTTCCTAAAACACTAAATTCTTCTATCGAAATAAAATATTATCTCAATATCTTACCAATATTATTGAATAAACGAGATGAATTTATAAGCAAATAGTTCCAGAAACAAAACGAAACCATATGAAAATTCTTCATATCTCTATCGATAGAAAAAGAAAATGCATCACTATTTAATCTATCTATCTACTACAATAACAAACCAATGTAATATATACATAGAAAAAGATTAAATAACAATAAACTTTGAAAGCAAAAGAAATACACGCATACTTTTAAATAAATCGAAACCCACTTGAAAAAATATGAGCACCATTTTTTTTAGACAAAATCAAGGAAAAACAAAACGTGTATAAAGTTTAGCACCGTTCAGATATTGTTCACCATTGGGTTTTAATGAATTTGATGTATCACTGTTCTTTGCTACTGCAGCAGCAATTGCTTCGAGTATTAAAACAGTCTATAAAGAGATTATGTACATCATAGAAAAAAAAATGTTTTTCAATTACTATAATTCTTGATTTTGTTGGAAAAAATTGTCATGGAAATGATGCACCATCAACACGAAAGTCTTCACAATTTTTATAGTTTTTTAAAATTTCTTCAAGTTTTGAATTAATTTTTGGTTTTTGTCGAGAATATTTTAAAAATGCCCAGAATTTTTCTAAACCATACAATTGACCTAAATAGAACAAATATTTTTTTATTGACACTTTATTTTTTTCTGTAATCTATTTTATTACCAGCTTCATGATCACAAAGAGTTTCTTGTTGAAAATCTTCAAATACATGTTGACGAAAATGTTTTTCTAGACCATATGTATAAAATCGAAATAGACATTCAACACCATATCTATACATAAATAATAATATTCAATTGTTTTCTTATTATTTTTCATAAAAACAATTCATTTATATACCGATGATCAGTTTTAGCATCTTCAACAGCATATTGTTTAAATTCATTATACATATGACGATTAAAATTTTCACATAAGAAAAATGACTAAACACGATAGAGTATG